AACAATATACTTTACATATACAGGAGTCCTCGTGTGGCGCTGTGGGTGAATGCGTGGGACTGCAGAGTCGGTTTGAACTGCAAGGTTGGTGGCTCAAGCTCACCAGCTGCTCCGTGGAAACCCTATACGGGGTCACTATGGGTTGGAACCAACTCGATGGCACTTACTAACCACAACATACTTTGCAAACAGAGGCTAGTAGGAGGACCCAACTAGGTTTTAACTGTAAAAATAATGCATGTATAGGGTGGCATCTGACCTCTCCTAACTTCACAAGGGAGAGAGAGAATCAGTCCAAGGTGGATTCCTTTGAGATGAAGGTCACATACTCGAACCCTGCAACGTTTTTGCCCATTCTGCACTAACTATTTCTCTTCCGGCATTCTCTCCATCTCCTCTGGCTTTGATGTGCTGCGATAACCTCAGAGAACTCAGACAATACTCACACTTATGAGGTTTATTAGGGCAGTGTTGTTATTGTTGTTAAGGGCCACATCAAGTTGGTTCCGACTCATAGAGACCTTGTATAGGGTTTCTGAGGAACTGCTGTTGAGTTTGAACTGTTACCCTTGGGGTTCAAAGCAACCTTGAGGGTGTATGGGTTGGAACCAACTCAATGGCACTCACTAACAACCTACTTTACATACTGATAACATCACAATTGAATCCAGCATACGTCTTTATCAAACACATTTGTTCATTCACAATGCACAAACAAAGCAGTTTCCTATTTATATGCCGAATGAGAAGACTTACATGCTTTATGATAGTATACTGACCCTGTATAGGGTTGCTAAGGTGTAGCTGATGACTTTGAACTGCCAACCTGTGGCTCAAACCAACCTTGGGATCCCGTGCTTTATCCCATAGCATCACACCAAGACTCCTTATGATAATGTAAAGCAAAACAGAATTTGAAATAGTACTCATTTTTAATCTATCACAGTTAGGCCACATACTACAATATAACATAAAGCAAATCATATAATGCAGCTTAAATGTAACAGATTAAAATTAGCACTATTTCGTATTTTGTCCTGCGTGACTTAATGTTTCCCAGAATGTTGATGTTCACTACAAAATGAAAACATATTTTAAGGAATTAGAAAATGAAAAAAATCACACAGAAAGCTTCTTTCCACAGGAAAATACTAACAGTG